AGGAATGTAAGTGTGTGTGTATGAGAGAGAAAGAGCTAGAGTTGGCGAGCAATGGAAGATGCAGATAAAGGTGACGTATGTATTCGAAAAAAGGAATAAAAATTAGAGCCGAATTCACGTCTTTGAGGTCAAAATGAGGCAGGGATGATATTCCGAACGGCGCTTGGACTCGCGCGCGCGAACATGGCATCCGCAGACACGACGGTGGCGAGTGACGCCAAGCCTAGCGCTACACGAAATGGATGAAAAGTACAATATTCTTTAAGTAAACTGTCTTTGTCGAGAGATTTCCCTAGCTCGAACTCGAGCCACGAAGCTCGACTTCATTTTGTATTTTTTTACGGAAGCATGCCAGACCTTGATAAAGTAAACGAACAAGCCGAGAGATATAAGTGAGCACGAAGTAGCGAGTAAGATTAGGCTACGCCAATAGAAAAACCAAAGACGCATAAACACCACGTGTACGAAGATCAAATACCATACTCCGTTAAATTATTTATCATAACCAGAAAAGTATCTTAAATATACCGATTTCCATTCCCTTAAGCTATAAAAAACACAAACACGAAGAAAGCGAGTAAAAGGTATAAAACGAGGAAATTAAAGAGAGAGAATGAGAGAGTATTTGAGTGAGTGAGTCAGTGAAAGAGTGAACGAGTGAACGAGCGAGTGAGTGAATAGTGAGTAAGTGAGTGAGTGATGAGTGAGCGAGGGAGCGAGTGAGAGCGAACAAGGGGTAATAATGCGTCGACCCTTGGGAGGAGGAAAGGGGGTCAAGAAAATATTTCCGGATAAATTTTCGCAGCGCCCTTGCCTCTCTTATCAAGTTTAGTTTACCTTTTTTCCAGCCCCTACGGCAAGCAGATGAGGACGAAGATAAGAAGAGTCGTACGACTCAACGAGTTACCGTTGCAGAGGCCAGACACGCGCCGCAACCACAAGAGGCAAAAGACCGGACCGGACGAGATCGACTGTGACGGGCTTTACCGGGAACAGAACATGGACTAAGACTCCGTCTAGTTAGGCTTCAACCGAATCTCGTGCTATTTGGAACTCTCGTGAATTTTTTAGCGCCTCCTAGCGTTACGCGCTAAAAGCTCCATTCGTAAGCTGATTCCGTGTACTTAAGACTTATTTATTGGTCGGAAGTAATTATTAAATAATACTATCGTGATGCTAAAATGAAGTTTTCTTTCATTATTTTCAATTGAGATATTTTAAGGTCGCAGTAAATCAGGTTTAGAAGTTTGATAAATTTGAATTATCGGCCATTTTGACCGTAGTACTCATAGATAAGAGACGATGTGAGCTTCCTGACTGGAACTTTATTGTACCGCCAGGAGATGAAAAACTCGGTGAGTCATGCGAGATTCACGTTCGATAAAACAAGCGTGATCGTCAAGTGCGTCGTTGATTTTTTCGCCATTTTTAAGATAAAATTTTAGTAATATCGACGAAATAAAAGGTTATTATATTTTTTTAATGACTTTTCTGTATAGTAAAACTGTTTATTTATGTTTCTTTTATCGACGTATTTATAAGAATGTGTTTTTGTTTTGACTTACTAAAGGTATTGTAGTACTGCTCCGAAACTTAAATTCTTACGCGCGAAATGAATCTTTTTTTATTGGCAAATCTGTATGTTTGAAATATTATAGTTGAATATATAATATATAATTTATTAATTTTTTCTTACAATTTGAATAATTATGTCGTGGTTCGTCTATAGCAATATATATATATATATATATATATATATATATATATATATATATATATTTAAAGCATAGTTTCTATTTATTTGTAAAATTAAAATAATCGCACGCAATTAAATTTATATTCGTATTTTATTATATATGCTGTAACAACATTATAAAACACATTACGATGTAATGTAATAATGAATAAATACGAATTAATAATTAAGTATTAATTAATAATCTTTATTTATATATAAATATACATAATAATAACTTAAGAATATTGGAACGCAAAGATATTACAACTTTAAAACTAAGCTTATGATTTGCTGTACTACTTGTTCTGTTTTTTTTAGGTAAAATTTTAGTTGTGTCTCAGACATTTAAATATTATACATAAATGTGTAAATACTAACGTTATTCATTAATATTATACTTAATATTATGAGTGAAAAAAGAAAAATAACAACAACTGAAGATGAAAATGAAGAGTCTATCGGACCTTCTCCAACGGACGCTATTGGTCCAAAGAAACAAAGAGGTTAATTTTTATAAGTTAATATTCTTGTAATAGAAAAATTTATTAAATATAAATTTATATTAAATTAAAAAAAAATAATTCATTAAATAATAGTTTTAGAGTATGAGAAAGTGTATCTCAATAATTTACCTTCTTGCGAATGCTATGAAAAATCATACATGCATCGTGATATAATTACACACATTGTAGTAACAAAGTAAGTATTTTTAATATTTACATAAATAAATGTATAATAAATAATAATATAAAAAAAGTTTGCTTAATAATTGAGTTTTTTTTATAACATTTTAGAACAAATTTTATTGTGACCGCTAGTTGTGATGGACATGTTAAATTTTGGAAAAAACAAGATGAACTTATTGAATTTGTCAAACATTTTAGGGCACATTTAAAGGCAATTCAAGATCTTGCAGCGAGTTGCAATGGAATTCATTGTTGTACAATTAGTACTGATAAATGTATAAAAATTTTTGACGTTGTAAATTTTGGTAAGTATATCACAAACCAGATATAATTTTAATTGTTATTAAATACGCAAAGTTGCCATAGCATTGAAAAATATTTATGAATTTTTATATTAATAGCTTGTCTTCATTTTTAATTAATTATAAATATGATTTTGCATGGTATTAAAGTATTAATCTATAATACCTAAAAATAATGGCAAAGTTCTTTTACAAAAACTTGAAAAATATTCTTTGTATTAATAATGTCTAAGAATTTAATAAATTAAAAATATTAATATTATGCACATGAATCCAAATAAATGTATTAGGCTAATATTATTTTGTTAATATTATTATGTCAATAGACATGATTAATATGATGAATCTTGGTTATATACCTCAATGTGCTGAATGGATTTATTCACCGGGAGATGCTATAGCTGTTGTTGCAGTTTCTGATCAAGAATCTAATAAAATATATATTTACGATGGTCAAGGTTCTGAAACACCTACTCATATTTTTGATACACTGCATACTAAGCCTATCGTTGCTCTTAAAGTAAGAAGCTATAAATAGATAACATAATAAATGTATAAAATTTTATAGAATTTATATAATTTCAGTATAATCCTATATACGACACATGCATATCTGTAGACAAAGCAGGAATTTTAGAATATTGGACTGGACCAAAAACTGAATATAAATTTCCTAAATGCGTTAATTTTAAATCGAAATTAGATACAGATTTATTTGAATTTGCTAAAAATAAAACTTATCCTTGTGGTTTGGCTATTTCCAATGATGGTAAAAAATTTGCCTCGTTAAGTGGAGATAGAAAAGTTCGAGTATTTAATTTTATAACTGGAAAAATGTCCAGAGTTTATGATGAATCACTACAAAGATTTACAGAATTACAACAAACAACACAGCAACTTCCAAACATGGAATTTGGTAGAAGGTATGCATAAAATACAGTAAAAAGTAGTTTTAACATTTCTTGAAAATTGAAACATTCTTTTCTTTTGATAGAATGGCAGTTGAAAGAGAAATGGACAAAACGGAAACGAATCTAGGTAATATAATTTTCGATGAATCAGGATATTTGATAATGTACAGTACAATGTTGGGAGTAAAACTCGTAAACATCCATACGAATCGCTGCCTAAAAATTTTAGCAAAACCAGAAAATATTAGACCAATGCAGCTGGCATTATTTCAAGGCAAAGCAAAGAAAACAGCAGCAATAACAGTCGAAATGGAAGCTTCGGAAAATCCAACTTTAGAAATGAATCGATCCGATCCAACTCTTTTCTGTACTGCACATAAAAAGAATCGTTTCTATATGTTCACAAGACGCGAACCCGAAGATACAAAAGGTCCAGAATGTGATAGAGATGTTTTCAATGAAAAACCTTCAAAAGAAGATATTATTTCGTCTACTGAAACCTCCAATATGCAAAAGATCTTTGACAGTGCTATCATTCACACAGCTCTTGGAGACATTCATGCCAATCTTTTTGGAAAAGAAGTTCCTAAGACAGTTGAAAATTTCTGTGTGCATGCAAAGAATGGATATTATAATAGTCATATCTTTCATCGAGTTATTAAAGGCTTTATGATACAGACTGGTGATCCATCTGGCACCGGTACTGGTGGTGAAAGTATATGGGGTGGAGAATTTGAAGATGAATTTAAGAAAAATCTTAAGCACGATAGACCTTATACTCTCAGTATGGCTAATGCTGGTCCAAATACAAATGGAAGTCAGTTTTTCATTACTTTAATTCCAACAGTAAGTATTCTTTACTTTTAAATATTTCAAATATCTTAAAATAATGTTAAAAAGTAAATTAGTTCTGAAAATTAAATTAAATTTTTACAATAGAAAAATATCTATACCTGACTAACCATATATATTGAAATAAAATTATTAAATTTTTAGTGAATACATAAAATGTACAATAATATTTTACTTTTGCCACTTAATACATATTCTATTATACTTTAAAAAAATGTCTAATTAATATATAGATAATAATTTGGAAAGTATTTTGGAATAGAGATTATTATTAAAATTATTTATCTTTACAATATTTCACTTTTTAATACCGTTTCATTTACAGCCTTGGCTAGATAATAAACACACAGTGTTTGGTCGAGTTGTAAAAGGGATGGAAGTAGTCCAAAATATTAGTCAGGTTAAAACAAATCCTAAAACAGACAAACCATACGATGAGATAAGGATAATTAGTGTTACGGTGAAATAATAATAAAAATTGTAAAAACAATGTAAATAAAATGAACTGATTTTTATTAAACTAACAAGTATTTATAAACTGTAAAAAAATATTAATTAAGCATTCTTTGGACCCATATGATATTTAGCTCCTCGTATAAAATTATATGCAGCTGTTAAACTTACAAAAGCGTTAACGCTCAATAAATTAAAATTTTTGGGTATTATAACTAATGAATATCTGAAAAACAATCAAATCATTAAATTAATGATATATAATAAATATTCATCAAAATATAATTACCTTGACCAAATTACTCCAGTCAGCATAAGACTGAAGGTTTGACTCATAGAAATACTGTCAACAGGTCGATTTATATCGCCAATACCGGCAATAACCAAACCCCATTTAAAGGTCGGTGCCCAAAAAAATATTGTTGTTGGCCCTATATTAAATATTCATAATATATGTAAAAATAATAGAATCGGTAGTATAAATAACGTATTATTATTATAAATCCTAATGACTGAAAATAAATTATTTTTGTAAAATTACATTTGTATAAATAAACCTTATCTACACTATTTTTATTCAATTATTAATAAATACTAATATTTTTATTGATGGTATTATTGATTATCCATATAAATAAATATGATTTATATTTATAATCAGATGCTTTACTTTATAAAATATAATAATAGAAATTATAATCGTGTAAATTGAAGAAAAATTTAATTAGGTTTTGTTAAAAAAAAATATATGATACAAAATTTTATACCTGCTGGGTGTAAAAATATCTTTTGAGATTTTTCTGGTAAATTTTTAGCAATACTTTGCATTAATTTTTGATATCTGCTTATATTTTTTGGAATCATAATGTATATTTTGTAAAAAAAGTTTCAATTCTATTTATAAATTTAGTAGCATCAATTATTTAATCATTGTTTTATAAAAATATTTCCTTTTCCACTATATATAAACTCACTTCACATTAAAAAATTAAAAATGATAAAATGTAATTAATGTTACATTAAATTAAATAAGAAATTGTAATTGATTGTTAAAGAAAAAAAGTAATGTATAAATGATTCTACAAAATTTTAAATAAAATGTCAATAGACTAAAAACAATTTCGTATCAAAATCATTTGACTATGTTTTCTTTATATATGCACGCGCATTAGTTTAAATATATAAAATTAATATTATACATATAACTAATATTACTACTCAATATTACTACATGTAACTAATATTATATCTTAGAATTATTTATATAAAAATATAATTTCCATTTATTAATTGTAATTATTTATTGTACACTTACTACTATGCACTTCATGTTTTATAATTATCATTTTAACTTTATATAAAATTTTTTATAAAAATCTTCCTTATTAAATGTATTAAATTTATTAAATTTAATTGTTATATTAGTATATATATATATATATATATATATATATATATATTAATAAACTTATTAAATTTAAAAAATTTTAATTTAACTCATTTACAATAAGATTCATTTTCATCTTTATTACAATCTGCAAAATTTAAATTAAATTAAAATTTTATGAAAATCTAATGATTTGACTTTCGATATCATAATTCAATTATAATTGTTTGATTTAAAAATTGATGTAATATGTAATACTTTAATGTAAACCATAGATTTTTAACCATTATACATTTTTAAAATCTTTTTTTATACTTATATTCGTATTAAAATAAGATTGATATAAAGTTGGTATAATTAAAATTTTGCGTTTGTAACATCTACATTACAAGAAGTGTAAAAAGTTATTAACAAAAGTTTGTAATATATTTTTGTAATAATTATAGGTAGCTAATAAGCTAAAAAATAAGAAATAAACATTAAATTTTAATACAATCGATATATTTGATCTCAGAGATTTACAATTAGTTATTACTTTTATTATCATATACAATTAATTTATAAGGTTTATATTATTTATTCTGATAATTAATAATTATTCATAAAATATATCATAAATTATTTTAATACTATTTGTTATTTTTGGGTCATTTTGTTTTATAAATAATATTAAGTAAATCAATATTTTATATTAAATTCAAAAATAAAAATATTGTATGCAATTTATTACAATTATCTTCATATAATAACTTCTGTAAACCTAAATACTAATGACAGTATAAAATGAAACATCATTCAACGCTCATCATAATTTTTTATAACAATATATTAATTCAGTGCAGCTAAAATTTAATGTATAATTAAAATAGTTAATTTAATATCTTTTGTTACATATTATTAGTGATAACTTTGACTAATTAATAGTGACAATTAAAATAAAAAATTGGAAAAAATACTTATATATTTCAAAAATATTTTAAAATCATATATATTTCTTGAGCTTATATTATATATCTATTATATATATATATTTTTTTTTTTTAATATTATATATATATATATATATATATATATATATAAGGACAGATCATATTTTTAATAATTCATAATAATATAAAAGATTGTTTACATATCTTTTAGCAACTTTTGTTATATATGTACTATAAAAAAAAACCCTTAGGTGAACTCAAAAATAAACGATGAGATTTTATAGATCTTTTATTTCTTTTTTTGCGTTGCTATAGCGATAAATAAATATTCTGTTCTTTCTCAGATTTTACTAAACGTTTTTGTTTCATTTCATTTTACTTCTCTGTTCCCTAATATTTTTATTATTTAATATTTTAATACATTATTAGTCATACGATTTCATATATGTTTTCGACAATATGTTTGACTTTTTTTTGTGTAATTTGCAAAAGTAATGTTTGTTCTGATAGTATACGTATAAAATCATATATACTTATTTAATTTAATTTATACAAATATCTACTATTTGTGGTTATAATGGAAATAGTAATAATTATGTTAAAATTTACTTCGAATAATGATATTTTTCCCAATATTTCTAATTTTCTGTTTTTACACTTCTACTCACTTAATAATTATCTTGTACAATATTGTCAGAGAATCTATAGCTATAAAATATCGATTATGTAATACTAATAATAAAAAAAATTTTTTTATTTCAAGGTTTAAATAATTTTTATGACAAAACATTAGTATAGATATTTATTAAAACTGAATGTATTTTTTATTATAAATTTCCATATTAATAAGAATAAAATTTTTAAGTAAAGGCCCTATTAAATATTAATGAAGCTTTCAATAATTTGCAGTTAATTTGCGTCAAATAAATATATTTTTCATGCTGCTGATTCTATAATATTTAATCATACGTTTTCTCCATCAATTATAAAGTCGCAGCTAGAAATTAAAGAAATGGCAAATTAGAGATATTAACGGCACTTTTGATAAGAGGTCAAATATTACTTCAAATAGTACAAAAATTTTACTTTATTAAACATTAATGGTTTTACATTATATATATATATATATATATATATATATATATATATATATATATAATACAATAACAATAATATAAAAAATCTCATTGTAAGCATATTACAAGTATGTTTAAAAGCATTTTTATAAAAATATGATCTAAGGAACAAATATTAATGTTCTTTTAAATCTTTTTAAATTTAAATTCTATAAAATCTAATGAACAAATAAAATGTAATTAATGAAGTAAACTGTAAATGATCATGTAAAGAATCTTAATTTTTCAAATCAATTTCTTTAAATTTGAAGTATTATTTATTTTAAAGAAATATTTAAATACTTTCTAAATTTTTTACTATTATTTAACTTTTTATTTTATTTTACTATTTAATATATTAGCCTAATATATGGCATATTATGTTTCTTACGTTTACAAAAAATGAGAAAACAAAATTTAGGAAGCAACAAATAAGTTGAAGTAAATCTGTCAACGACACTTCATATTTTTGACACATTTATACGCATGAGAAATATATTTTTGATTAAGCTTCTACTTTTTGGCTTTTAAATTATAAATCAGATTCAGTTAAAAAAATTTTATATAACTTATTTATACTTTATCTATCTTAACATAATATCCAATGAAAATAATAAAGCATCTATTTTTATAAATATTGAAATATGTTAAATGGATGACACTTATTTTCTAATAACCAAAACTTTTCAGTAATTAATAATAAATTTCCATTACCACATTAAACAACAGAAGAATAAAAACGTTAACAAATACTTTTTAATGCCACAGCCTTATTTGAGAGGAGCTTTCATATTTAAATATTCCATTTTCAGCATCTGTTACAACCAGATTACTACAAAACCCGAATGAAAAATATAATTTGAAAAAATATATAATAAAGAAGACTCATTATTTTTGTTACGTTATCTTGACAGTTCACACTTTTGTTGTTAAAGCAATATAGGCATTATTGAATAGTTCTATTTTCCATACATATGTGCAATTTACGTAAAAAAATAAGAAAAAATGGTAATAAAGAGAGAGAGAGAGAGAGAGAGAGAAGAAAAAAGAATGATTAATTAAGTCTCGTAAATCACATTTTCGATGAATATTGATCAAAACTATTTGTGTGTAAACATATTATATCATTCCGAAGAACAACCGATAGTAACATCGGAAAATGAAAACTCATTCTTTTGAAACATGTTTTGCGATAAGTTATACATCTACAATGTCATTACTACGAATTTTTAAAAATAATTAAAATTCTCTTTTGATTAATTTTATAATTATAAACAAAATATTAATATTTATTATTAATTTATGAAGAACAATGTCAAAATTAATTTTTTTTTCCATTTATATACATTCACTTATGTTCACTTATATTTTTCTAAAATAAACGTACAAATTCTGGTGTCTTGTTCTTTTATCAAAATAAAAATAAATATTTATATGAAGATAGTGTTATAATAATTATCTATAAATTAAATAATACCTTTTAATTTACTTGCAGTTTCACGATTCATACAATGCCTTTATGTCTTATCTCGGTATAATTTATATAAGAAATTAATTGATATCCGTTAAGTATTTATTAGCCACTGTAAGCAAGTTAATTGCTTTTCAAAACTTTTATTTTATACTTATACTTACTATATTATTAAAGTCACATAATTACTAAATATTCTTAATATTTTAATTAAAAATTATGTATAATTTGTAATTATGTACACATTATTAACAAATTTACAATTTATAATTGTAATTTTGTATGGTATAGATAGAAAATAATTTGATTTTGTATATGAAAAAATTCCATATATATATTATAAATTATTTTTATTTGATCAATGGTATTAAATGGTATACATAAATGCTCAATTTTAATATAAACTCAATAAAATATATTTTTTATTCAATACATGCCTAGTTAAGTACAAAAGTTATTATATGTCTAGATAAATTAGATGAGTTTTAATTTGAAACTAATAATATAATTAATCATCTGTTACAATGTGAAATAAAATAATATAATAATACTAGAATATTAAACTACTAATAAAATGTAAACACAACTTGAAAAAAAAAAATAAAATTGAATGTTAAAGTTTTGAAAACTCGTTTAAAATAGTTCCAAAAATTCATCGCATAGTTCTAAAAACCATCGCGAATAAAAGATAAAAGCATAAAATCTGTAAAAATTTAATTCTCGTAAAAACCATCGCGAATAAAAGATAAAAGCATAAAATCTGTAAAAGTATTACTCATGTGTCTGTCAGCAAGACGTAAGTTGCTGTCTTTTACAGACTAAATGATTAAAAAAAAAATTAATAATTTATGCATCTCATTTCATTCTTTGCTAAGTTCATGATAATCATAAAAAATAAATACAAACTTAAATTCAAAATAAAAATGTTTAAGTATCTATAAATATATTTACATCTAGTCTAAAAATAGTTATATCGTTTGCAAGTTAGTATTTTTCAAATATTCTTAAATACTTTTTAACGAAGTTCTACGACTTTGTCAAAGTTTATCTTAGAAAACTTGTAGAAAAATTTAAATAATGGCGCTATTTTACATTTTACATTTAATATTCACAATTGTCCAGTTTCAATTTTAAGGACATTTGTTAAGAAGAATTTATTCATTTTATTATATTTTTTGCGATTAAAAGTAACTATTAATAAATATTACCTTATCATAAATAAAGTTAAGCATTTTTAGATGCTCGAAAATAATGATATTAATATCATCATTTGTAATTCTTGTTTTTGAACTTAGCACCATGAAACAAGAGCGATAATATATTTCGTATAAATTAAGCCACACAAATAATGCTGTACATTAGAAGCCAAAAAAAATATAAATAACAATGAAGTTTCAGGATAAAAAGCGATTGGAATCTCAGAGAACGAAGAGGTTCTCGCAACTCTTAGTTTTTCTCTTGAAACCAAGCAAGTGTTTCAGAATTGTCCGTCGTTGTTTACTACGGCGACGTCGTGTAACTTGGTTCCTATCACGCTGTGGATTAAGCTTGATTTGAGCGAGGATTCCGACAAGGAGTTCATCTACATGGTGAGCAAGGCCTGACGATGTCTCGATGAATTTACAGCCGCAGCTATTTGCCAGACGTCGCCCCACTGCACAGATAATAGCATTTCCCATACGATCGTTAATTTACATATTTTAGTTTCACACTATAGAAAAATTTTCATATCATACAGATAAATAGTTCTAATTAAAATTTTTTTGTATGTAAAAAAACATACTGTTTAGCAATGATGAAATTATATATCAAAGAGTAATTAATAAGTAATAAATAAATTGTACTAAACGACTTGTGCAATAATAACGATAAGCTTATATAATCTGAATTTATATATGCTATTTTGAATATTATTATTCACTTCTCATTAATAATATCGTGTAATCATATAAAAAGGATATATACTCATAAAAGTTTACTGCGTATATAAATGTTTAAATACGTATATACTTACTCATTGCTGCGACTTCGCGCTTACGTTGAAGGTCAACCTTGTTACCAACAAGTATGACCCCGTGGGTCGCCATATAGTCGCTTTTCCATAAATGTACTAACGTCTCTTCAGCGAACTTAAGAGATCGTCTATCGACTACAGAATATACAACCACATATACATCTGGATTGTACGACGAACAAAATGTTTCAACCTACAAAAGAATACATATACAAATTTCTATATTCAGATAAATTTATAATTTTTTATGAATTGTTGTAAATTATGTACTATATACATTTTTAATTTAAAATCGCTTTTTACTTATTTTTATATATCAATCATATATTTTGATTTTACGAAAATTATTTTACAAACAAATTTTTTTAATAAATTATTTAACACGCTTATATTAAATAAAAAAAAATTGCATATAAAGGCTCCTTTTTCTTTGCAGTATAAAAGTTAATAGAAAAAACCCTTAGAAATGAAATCAAATTACTTTCTATATTATTATACTATTATTTTAAAAATTAGATGCTTTAATGTGTAGAATATCCAATTTGAAATTCAAAATAATGGAATTGTTAAACTTATATTAAGTTTCCATCTGCATATTAGACCGACAAATTAAATCTAATAAATATCTGATAAAAATCTGATAAATGTAATAATAAAAAACAATTGTGTTTTTATCAAATTCTTGGAGTCATCTTTTATTTTTCATTTGTAATAATTGGTCTTAATTGTTATGCAATGCAATAATTGGATTTTTAATGCTAATATGAAATATTAAATAGACGATTAAAAATATTACGTCAATTTTCAAATTGAAGATTAGTTTTTATACATTTATGTTCATAAACCAACTTGATTTGAAATTATAAAAACTCTATTTATTGTCAATAATAAACCTAATAATTACATTAAAGAAAAATTTAGTTATGAAATACTCTAAAAAGGCTTTATCAAATGAATAATTATATGTAATATAAATAAAGTAAATTGAAATGGTATTGGTTAACATTTGTTTTCAACAAAAGTTGATGAATAAATTCTGAAATAATTTCAAAAGATTTTTATAAAATAATAAACAAAATAAGTTTAGCATTGACAAATATCTTTCCCTTTGTCAACATTTAAAAATGGAATGGTGCCCGTAAAATGATTCAATTAACTGTACATTCTAATTTTAAAATAAAATTTACAATAAAATTTTCAAATTAATAAACTCTTTCAAAAAAGCTAGTTAAGTTCATCGAATCGATAAAAGCAATCATCTTGCAATTTGATAAGGAAAAGCACTTTTCTACAAAGACAAGTACGTGACTCCAATTATTCGGATGAAAAAGAAAAGCAAAGTAATAAGATTAATGAAAGGTGTCAATTTCATTGTATTCAATTAATTCTATTATTGATGAAAAGCGTGTGAACTAAATTAGCTTTTATTAAAAGATTAATTGCTACCAATTATTTACAATTAATTGTCTCATAAACGTATTATGGCATCACAATTCCAATTAATAACAATGGATAATAATATATTCTATTTTTGTCACATGTGATTTTTTATTTGTCCGATTATCAACGGTAAATAACATCTTTTAGATTAATATTTTAGTTTAATTCTTTAATATTCATTAAAATTAAAAAATAAACATATTTATATTTTTATATTTCTAAATATTAATCATTTTGTTTTGATATTATCAGTGTATACACATTTATTGAAAATCATTATTCCTTTTGTACATTAAAATAAAGAAAACTTACAATTTTCGATTAAAAAATGAACAACTCTCATAAATATTTATTCCATTTTTAAAAATTTCTGTGTAATTATCAATGCACAGTTTTGCACAATATTAATGCTAAATTTACAAAATATGAATGTATAAGATCAATGCACAATTATTGTACTAAATATATAATAATTTTTTTTAGATATTTGTATATTTTTTATTTATGCACACAAGCGCGTGCGCGCATACTCACATACACACGCACATGTACACACGCACACATATAAATTTCACTTGATAAGATTACATTACAATACAAAAAATTATAGCAATAATTTTTTATGGAACTAACATTTTAGTTTTTTTTATTATGATATTAATGAATAGGGTATATTTTTGAGTGATTTTGAATAGTTTGTATATGAATTTGTTGAAATTTAATGTTTTCTAATTTTACAAAGTTATATTAGATCATCGTAAGTAAGAATTTACATTAGTTTAAATTATAATTCAAAATATAACTCGCATAAAGAAGAAAAACATATTTAGTACTTACTGACATTTCCGTCGCCGGATGATCGATGATCTCTAATTCTGTTTCCTGTCCATCAATCATTACTGATACGCTTTTTTGCCCATATTCATCATCTGCAATAATAAATTTTGATTTTGTAATTATTTTACTTTATTTGTAAATTCTTTTAAATTTCTTCTCGCATCTTTTGCATCTTCAGTTATTAATAGTTCAAGATACCGAAAATAAGTTGGTAGCAACATGTAAGTAGAAGAAGTATAACCAATTTTATTTAAAATTTCTAAAATACTTGGGCAATGCATAAAAAGATGCACAACAATGAAAATGTCTGTAAATAATATCGAGTTTAAATAATAAAAAGATAAGACACAATTACTTTATTCATATCAGAATTAATCTTACTCTTAATTACACATATAATTTTATATTTGTGTCATTTATTTTATACTATATCTCAAACATCTTTCTTTCTTTTTTCTTTTTCTTTACTTATTGCTAAAAGTAAGATTATATAGAAAAGCATATATTTATACAATATATCTTTTTTAATAACTATTTTAAATACTTTATACTCTTAATTTAACTTTGTATAATTTTAAGAAAAATGAAGTTCGGAGAACAGTACAAAAAGATATTAAGTTAAATTGAAATTAGAAAGTAAGTAAACAATATTCTACAGATTTTACTTATTAATATATTCTTTTAAACGTACACCTCAATTAGAGCATAATAATAGATGAATATATTAATGGAATACAGAAATAAATAGGTGCTGTACCCATGTTTTATAAAATGAAATATGTTAATATAGTTTTTAAAATATATTTCTTTGAGAATTAATTTTGATTTTTGAAATTCATCTATTGAATTATCTAGAGTTGATTCGAAGATTTTTAATAGCTGAAATTTAGTTTTCCATCTTCCATTTATAAAATGCTTTTCATTTTATATTTTTAAATCATATTATTATAAAATATAAAAAATAGAATACTAATATTCATAATTTTTTCGAATTATATTATAAATTTGTACAAATTAAATAGAATTATTTTGTAATATCAATGATTTTTTTAATATCAATTAAATATCGTTTTGTAAATTAAGATTTAATAAAAATACAAATATAAAGCAATACTTCAAAATGAGACTAAAAAAGAATTAAATTATATCATTAATGTAGTATTAAATATTATTTACTGTTCCAGTTACTTTTACAAACTTGTCATATCGACAATTCTTGGAAATTAATAATTGCAAAGTGACTGGTATAGTTTTGAAATAGAAACAAATATTATGTTTCTAATAGCTTTCAAGGACAAAAAAATATTTTTTGATTCAATTTCTAAATACTTAAAAAATATAAATATAGTATTCATTATAATTGTTTACAAAAATACGATGAGCTCAAATTCATAAATAACAATTACGTTCATTTGCGAAATATTTAGCACAATGCATATGTTTTCCTATTAATGAAAAAAGTAAACTTTACATTAATTAACAATTAATAATTAATTAAAAATAATGCACAATATTCTATTTAAAAATATGTATATATAATTAATAATACTAACCATATATCGAGTTTAACTATTCTCATATAACTTAACGAACACAAGATATTCCAGTGCCAATAAAGCGTATTGCTTTTTCTCATTTTGACGTATGAACTACACTATATAATATTCAATCAAATAATCGATAGCAAAGTGCAAGAAAAACCAGTATATTTGTAATAGTAGTAGGCAACATGCTATTATCGATTTGAAAACAAAGTTCCGAATAAACGTTCATTGCTCTTGTTTTATTATCAATAACTGGTTGAGTTTCTTGAACTTATGCACCAGTTGAATTTAATGTTACTTGTAATTTATTTATTATTAATTTGAAAAAAAATTTTATAGTTTAAAATAAAAAACTTATAAGAAAATAGGACTGATACCTCTTAAAATAATATTACATAAAACATAAAACTTTTTTTTATATTAGATAGAGACATCCGTATTACATATCTCATATATTATATTGGAGTTAAAATTAAAATATGCAAGAAAACTGATTATTATGTATTATCAATATCGAAAAATTATATTCGCAAAAAATCATCTCTATCATGTAAATAATTGTATTTTATTTATCAGATAATGTTTTGTAATAAAAGTAATGCAGTTTATATTATATAAAATAAAATACGTATATAATGTTAAATGATATGAAAAAAGGAAGACAAATTATAATGTAAATTATAATGACAGAAGAAATAAATCTATATTAACGGTCTAATATATGTTAATATTTAAATTTTTCTTTCTTCTCTACTTAATTTAATCTATGCCAGATAAAAAAATATTTCTGTGTGAAAATTTTTAAATTTCCATACAATTATCCTCAGCTCAATAAAAACATACTTTTAATGTGAATATTTTATATTATATTATTGTAAAATACTTTCTAATTTGCTTCTATTTTAAAATGCTTTCCAATTTGCTTCTATTTATTTAATGAATATAATACATTCTATTTTCTATTTATTTAATGAATATAATACATTTATTTCTCAAAAATAAAAAATAAAATTAATCGATTCATTAAAAAATATATTGGATATTTTTTAGTTTTTTCATGTAAATAAAGATGAATTTATTCATAAAAACAATTCTATAAAAAAAGTTGAAAATTTTAAAAAACCGTGATCTCTTGTCGCATAACGAATGGATGAACGAAACATATAAATTCATTAGCGAATTATACGAGACAAAAATTCACCATAAAATGATATTATTAAAAGGATAGTCAATATGTCTTACATATCGTATAAAAATTGAAGTCAAAATTTAACTTTTGAAAATATAAAATACGAAAATTTCTAGATTTCTATAGAAAGAATTCATAAAATAAATATGTTTATAGAAAAACTATTTTCGATTAATTTTTCAATATACTTTAATAGATTATTTTTCATAAATACTGACTCTATTATATGAATTCATATATTATATAAATTCATTAGCAATCAAATGATAAAAATCAAAAGATAAAAAGGATTGATGCATCAATATTCTAAAATGATTTATCTATCAAACAATTATATCAAACAATTAAAATGTAATAAACAATATTTATAATGCAATTTAATAATTATACATGTAACAACATATAATAAATATATTAATACTATTTCATTGCAACTTCATATAAATTCTGGCTTTTTCATACATGGAAACTATTTGAAATACATAAATATTATTGCAATAAATATTAATGTGAATTGTAATATATTATAAATATTGTTGATAAAAATAAATAAATTTATTTAATATCTAGGTATTAAACCATTACATACATGATAGTTATCTTTAAAGAGTTACTACTTAATCTAAAATAAATAAATTTAAAATTAATAAAAGATGCGATATAAGAAATATCTATGTATCCGAACTATTGAATATCAAACTACAGTATAGAATAATCTAGCGACATCAAATTTTATTTAATAAAAAGAAATATTAGTATAAAGTAAGATAGAGTATCATTAACAGGCTGATATTTGAAAGAATATTTATATAATAATAATTTATGTTATAAATTTATATAGAGAAAGTAGGTTTACTAATTCAACATGTATTGATACTTTGTATTATACTATCTTTTTCACAGAAAGTTGTTACTTCCGTTGATTAAATTAATGAAAAATAAAATAAATTAAATTATTAATATCATAACATAGTATTTTTATTTCAACATTTAGAATACCAAGCTTCTGCTTTTTAGAATTCAATCTAAGAATATATACTTAACATTTCATAAGTAATTATTTTAAAAAGCAACAAACATTTTCTACCAATAATAATAATATTATTTAAGACGATATAAAATATAAAAATAAGATGATATAATACTACTAAAATTATTAAAAGTTATTTGTAATATTCAATTGTATAAGACTAAATAATAAAAATTAAATACAAAATCGAATTGTAAAGCCATTAAAAATGCACAAGAAAGCAGATTAAAGGAAATATAAAATAAAACAAGAATATATTACTAGTTTATTAAATAAATAATTCATAATATATATACATTCAAATCTCCAGGCATGTATTATTCAAACCTAACATATAACAAGAAGTCTCACAATTAAGTTCTAAAATCCATAATTTTTTTTACTGATTTCTAGCATTTATTACAGTGTACTTCACACAACTATTTCATGCATCGCTAATAAATATAATATTTAATATGTTTGCTAGCTGAATTATAATATTATGCGATGCAAGTAAATTTTTGTGATATTTTCTAACGATTCTATAGGTGGAAAGAGAAAAAAGAACGGAGAAACAAATTCATCAATTGCATTGGAAAGCATTAAATTGCACTGATGTCACTCACCAAGAGAGGCGTCATAAGCACAAATGTACTCGCTGGTGGTGAATTGGGCAGTGAGAGCAGTTTTGCCAACTCCCGAGGCGCCAAGCATGCCGACCTTGTAAGTAGCCACTCGCGTCCCATCGTCTGTGCTTTCGCCCTGATCGTTTTCGACCCCCGATTCAATGCCGGAAAGCTGCGATGCTGAGCTACGACACGAAACGACAATCAACACTTTAATGGGCTACCCCTTGCCAACTACCCTTCCTTTCATAGCTTCCCTTTTATGTAATGCTGCATAAGTGGGACGGGAAACACGCTTAGCTTTTCTTTTATTAGAGTTTCTCGGAAATGAAGTGAAGAATAAATAAAGTACATAAATAAAATATTTTCACTTGACTGACAAAACTTGCATTAGTATTGTGCTTGCAATAGTTTATTCAAAATGTTTTTTGCTTTTTCTCTTTGAATTCTTATAAGATATAACGATTTTAATATCGAGTTATTTATACTAAATAAAACGAATGAAATGCTGGAGCTGTGGTATTAAATTCAACATATCATAATAGAAAACATAATTTATCACTCATATCATTATATAATCTATTGAAAAATTATTTCAATGAAAATAAATAAGTATATTGAAGATAAATAAATTTTTTATAATTTAAAATCAATTATTTTAACAATATAATAATTTTAGCAATATGTAACAACATCTGCATGAACACGTATAAAACATATTTAGTCGAGTATTATTTGTTTTCGAGCTATTTATTGTATTCAATTACTTTCTAAATTTTATAGAACAATTATGAAATAACCGAATGACATTCAATTTTAACATAAGTAAAATTATTTTCCCATTAATATTAATATATTTCCTGTTTTTCAATTAGTTAATAATTGCATTATAGATAGACAATGCAATAAAATATTATAGATAACATTTTATAACTTATTTTCTTTACATTGTTTGAAATTTTATTGTTGTTTGAATGGAAACAATAATTAAAAATTATTATTTATTATTTTTTTATTTCTAAATTATTCAGAATCAAAATTAACTTTTTCAATTTTGAACTATTTTGTAAATATGAAATTAACATATAAAAAATTACTTTATTAATAATATATTTGATATTAAATTAGAAATTATGGCATTTTGTATCGATTAATAGGAATATAATTATAACCTTTAAACTATTTCATAAGAACATAAATAGATTTTTTTATAATTGATATGATATTACGAGTAACATTTTCATAAAAAGTTTGACAATAGTTGTATTAATAATTTAAACAGTTAATCTCATTGCATACAATATTAGAATTATGAATAAATAAATAATATTGAAATATAGTTGAAACTATTTACATATTAACAAACATTTTTATTTAATAAACATAAAAAATTTTAAATTATGAATATTAGTCAATTATATGTACTTTTGTAATTAATAAAAGTTTTTATAGTGAATATTACTTCATAAATTTAAGATTCAAGAGAATATCATAAAAATTTGATGAAAAATCAATGAATAAAACATTGATCTAACAATGTATCTTGTTGTCAAATTTATTTTATTCGCTTTAAAATTCGAATTTTTGAGTTGAGTAGTTGTTCCTAATAATAATATCAATAATAGTAACAACAAAAATAATAATAATAATAACAACAACAACAACAACAACAACAACAACAATAATAATAAGAAGAAGAAGAAGAAGAAGAATAGCAACACTTGTCTATTAAGAATGAAATATTTTCATTATTTTTTATAATTTTTATAAAAATATGTAATATTAATTATAACTTAGTTATCAATGAATTCGTTAAATCAATAATTATTATATTTTACATAAGAATTTTATACAATTTTACTAATATAGTTCATTTACAATAATTTCTTTTGGATAGCCATACAGTTAATTAACATGTAATTTTAATATATTTATAATTAAAAATATGTAATTAACTGTTCAATAACATACATTTAAGAATACGTCAGAATAATACGTTTCAAACAACTCATATAATTTCAAAAGATACCCATAAAGTACGTTAAAAGTGCATGCACGTTTTTAAAAACTAATTTTCATGCCCGAATATAAATATGATGTAATACTACCTAAGTAGCCTAGCATCCCTGGTGCTGCTGCAACTCGTACCCGAGGATGTAACACTATTGATGCTGCGGCTGCGGCGGCTCTTGAGAGAATCACCGAGGTTAAAGACCCCGTTGGCAGTTATAGAGAAAGAGCGTAGCCTGTAATATTCGACGCCATCCTCGGTCTCATCGTCTCCGCCGTTACCGCAGTTACCTCCACCATTGCCACCTCCGCAACGACGTGTTTCAGCCAACATAGGCTATGAACATTCGTTATTACAGAATCTTCTTCACTTCTATCTTAGATTTTATAAAACGAAAAGCATTTATAAGAAATTACAAACATTCGTTTACAAAATTTGAAAGCTAAATATCTCATAAAAAAATTTAAATAAATATAATATTCGCCTCGTAATTGCATGAGTAATAAGTACACTTATTACGCCCCGCTGCATTATTCCCAATCATATCAAGAAAATGTCAATTTTCATATAATCATATGTAGTAATTATTAAATTTAAAATTAAAATTTTGACTACCATTACATTACAACGTCATTCATATTTATTACTTAATTTCATATTTTTAAAAAAACTTAACTACACATATTAATATTTAATTGTCAAATTTTGCAGATTCTTTAAATATATTATTTAGAAAAAAATATGTATTACATAAATTCACATTTTATTTCTCGATACTGAATATATAACCACAGGCATTTTTTGTATTTATTATTAAGAGAATTTATTAACATATGATTAATATGAGGAGTATTTTTATTTAATTTTTATAATAGATTTAAATAATTCACTGCATACTATTACATCAATCAGTAAGTAAATGAAACCTTAACAAACAAATAGCGAACGTAATATATTTCGAAAGAAATGCTAAAGATTTTATAATTGTGTACTCGTTATTACCGCGTGACTAGTCTTGGAGAAGCGAGAGACACGTGTAGAAGAGAAAAAATCCCCCGTGCATATGTTGATATCACGTTGTTTTGCATGTTGTTTAGGATTTACTGTATATAACCCTGCTATTACATTGGCATGGAATCACTAAGTTACAGTTCTCATTTGACCATAGCTCACTTCGATATTTCTTTCTTTCTTTCTTTCTTTCTTTTTTTTTATTTTTTTTTCTTTTTCTTTTTTTGTTTTGTCATCAAATATCGTTATTTAATTAAAGTCAAATATACTGGCTCTTTATGATACTTTATACCTGAAAATGTATATTAGTCCATATAATAAATTAATTGATCGCTATGGAGCTATACAATTACATAACCTTTTTTTATATCATCGTACTTAATTATTTTTGAGGTAGTGTTCGCCCAAAGGCATTTGAATTTTCGGAGAAATCGTTCTTCTCATAAATCATCTATTTGTGATTGTGAAGTTTTTATAAGTGGCATATAATAGCAGTCTTTCTTAAGTGTCATTAACACGAGCTCGACCCTACTTTTATATCTTGATCATTAGTTAGTTTTTGCATCGATAGCAATGAAGAAAAAAGGAAAAAGAATCGACTATTGATTAAATTTATTGTACGTTGATTGGACGCGTGTTGGTGCGGGATTAGTTTAAGCTATAACGTTCGGCTCTTGGTTAATGCTACTTCCTCAATTTTATTCTGTCTGTTCAGCAGATACTGTCATCTCCCTGCATATTACTTTTCATACCATTAAGCAACTAATCCTATTTAATATCATAATTTAATAAAGCTTGTCAGAATATCACAAAATAATTGAAAAGTAAATTTTAAATAATGTGCCTCATACAAAAAATACAAACCGTTACAATTTTACAAATCGTTTAAATAAAATGTATTATATTACATTACGTAATTTTACATAAATAATTATTTGAATAATATTGTTATTACGGATGATAGTCTATTACGTGCACTCGATAACATTATACTCAATCATGCTGTTCTGTGATACATGTTAATGCGTACATACATTTGTTATTCTATAAATGCTGATATCAATCGAAAAATTTAGAAATTCTTATTTATTATCCATAGAACCTTGGTTTTCTATCGGTGAATCTACAGAAGTCAATATGTTTTCTTTATTAGTCAAATAAATAGTTCAAGGAGGAACTCACTAATAAAATGAGACGTTTCTGTATTGTAATAAAACGGTACTTTACCCACAAACTTTTACCCCAAAAATTATATTATTTATTTAAGATATATATGTGCAAAATGAAAAAAGTTATTACAATGAAATGGATGCAGCAGGTTAATTACATTGAATAATATTTTGTTTGAATATGTAATCTATGTATCTAATATATATACAATATTCTATTTATCTAATTTCATTGAATATTTTAAGTAAATCGAATAACATTAATGATTCTGTTTTTATAAAATATGTAAGTACAGAGAATTTTATAAATTCATTTTATAAAATTTTTTATCATAGTAAATCGTTATTTTAAATTAAATTCATGGTACAGAAATATATGCGAGATATTATCTATTTCTGTATAAAAAATTGTAAATTTCTTTTAATAAACTTATAAAATAAATTATAGAGAATGTATTTTGTTATATCAAGGCTTATTTTATAAATTTATTCAATCTGAATTTAAATATATTTAATATGAAAATTACGACATCTAAAAATTTTATTATATTTAGACTAAATAATTTATACTATTTTAAATATTTATAAATCAAATATTTAAATATATATTAAAATATATGGTAATATGAATTTATTAAGCTTTTAATTGTAATATAATATTATTCTATTTATTTATTATGTCTATATAAATTTTTTGTCTTTTAAATGAAATAAACATTATGCGATACCTTTATATTCAATCAAACTAATTCGAACGATAAAATCATATTCGAAATTTAATTTTATTAGTTAATTTAGATTTAACTGGTATTTCTTATTTAAAAATTGGTCAATTTAATTTTACCATTCGTAATTAATGTTTGCATAAATTTCGAATAAAACAATCGCTAAAAATTATAAGCTTATTTAACAAATTATAATCATAAACTAAATTTAACAAAGCTCTTTAGTTATATTAAAATTTTTCGTCCATTGTATTTTCGAAAAATCAATTCTTCTATATTTATAGTTCTATTATTGTGCAATATAACGTTACAGAGCTTAAACTTTTTACATAAAGTAAAATTCTGTATCTACAAAACGAACGGTTTAAGCAACACATTTAAAACGTTAAATATTTCAAAATTTACTAAAACATGATAATTTGCTATACATAAATAGTTATATAAATATATGTCGAAAAGTATTGAACGATCATAACAAATATTTTACTTTTGAGAATATTTTTATTTATTCTTTCATTTAAATATTATTATTTAAAAATCTAAAATAAATCGTAATATTAAATTGATATATGCAATTTTTTTGTATTGAAAAAAAATTTTTATTTTTCAAGTAAAAAATATTTCTAGAGTTAAGCACTGAAAATTGATAAACCTTTTTTTAAAGTAATTTGACAGTTTTAAATTACCTTTAATATACAAAAAATTATTAATTATTAAAAATCAATAATATATTTATTTTTAGTCTACGATTTGTTACTTATAAATTTGTTTTCGATAATTAATTATTATTTATTAATAAATATCGTTCTTGTATAATGAGAAATGCGTGAGAATAGGGATTTTTATTTATCAATATATTTTCAAATAAATAATTCAGTCCTTAGTTGCTTTAATTACGCATATACATTTACGTGAACTCATTTAAACTTTTTATTTTATTTATAATAAACAATTTAAAGTCCATAAATATGCTTAATGCTACTTTTTTTATAAAAAGACAAAGCAGGACACATCAAAAGCAGCAAGCTTTATGTATGAAAGAATGGCCTTTGCACGTCTGAGCCTTGCTCTTTAATTAATTTTTTTTGCCTTTAGACACGTCTTATTTTTCTATTAATAGAATTCTGTTAGTTAAAAATTTCCAATAAAACTCACATGAATGTATTGAATAGTTATAAAATGTTTACACCTACTTTTGTCATTTTTTTATAAATTGATCTTCTAAATAAGCCGGCTATCTCATAATCTAAATTATAAAACAACTCTCAGGCTAAAAAACACATCGTCTTGAACACGAATTACTTCAAGTTTAATTTCACGTTTGAATTTTTAAATTGAAGCTGCATAATTTCATATTTTATTATTTTTATCACAGAACTAAATATACGTAAAAGTTTCAAAATGCATGTAAAATTTAGATTTATATATATATCTAAATTAGAAGAATTCGATATATAGAAAAATTATTATGAATTGTAAAAATTTGGAACAATTAAAAGAAGTAAATGTATTGTTGTTTTCATTCTTGCTTGTTTCGTAAAAGCATGCATATTCCGAAACAATAGGAAATAAATTGTTTAGACTTTGTTATGTTTTATTTTAAATAGTGGAGTAAAAAACTTGAAAATTTCGAAATGTATATGTAAACTCAATGTAAGTATCTTCATATGACGAGAAGTTAACTGAGAATTCATGAAATGGAAAAAAGCGTAATGGTTATTACTGTACTTAAACGGGTTTGGCTTTCTTATTGACTAAATCAGTATATCACAACGACTCAGCCCTTCGAATCAGCGGCCTTGTATCCTACAAGAAACAATTGCAATAATTTAATTAGGTTACATACGTAAGCTTTAACCGTCATCATTGATTGAGTTATAATAGAACCCAAATAGTATAATCTATGATACTATTTCTACCCAACAGATTTACGCATAACCGACCTTAAATCCTCAAAGTCCTAAGGCAGCTTCAATTATTACTATAATTTAAGAAATAATTTTGTTTCTATCTTACAAATATAAAATTCAGAAATAAATGTGTCTATTTGTACTTTTATACCATATTCTAATTTGATCATGTTCTTCCTTCTCCTTTCTCATTCTCTCTCTCTCTCTCGTTGTCTCTCTTTCCCCTAACTACTCATTACTGTAAACAAAATAACAAAATTCGATTATTTATTTGATCTAAATAAAAACTTAATTGTTTTTAAAACAGTTTTTATACTTATTTTATTAATTATATTAAGAAATTCAATAAAATGTAGTATCGTTTAAGATATTTTAAAAGAAAAATGTTATTTCCTAGACACATTATAAACTTTACATATATTTTAGAATTATATATTAGAGAAATTAGAATAATATTAGAATTAATAGATTTAATTGATTTTACTCAAACATAATTATAAATTTGAATAAATTACCAATGATTTATTAATAAATATACTAAATTTAAAAATAATATATTTATTTTTATATTTATTTTTAAAAAAAAATATATATATATATATAAAGCATTGAATTTTAAATTTGAAAGTTTTCATTATAGCAACGAACTATAAAATTAAAAAAATTTTACTATTATATTATTTAATACGAGGCTCTTTTATCAAAGAATAAGATATAATTGGACAATTACAAAAAAAGTAAAAGATACTTTTAAATTATAAAGAATATTAAAGTACGTCAAGAAAATCTATTCAAGCAAAAATGGTCGAGAAACGCAAGAGTGCATTAAAGGCCAAAAGGGATGAAGTAAAAATATATGAAAAAAAGTAGATAGGTATGCTTACGCACGCGCGCGCACTATTATACCCTTACATTTATACACTCGCAAATTTAAACACCTTCTTACTTAAACACATATGCATAGACATACTCCAGATTGAAGTAGATAAAGTAGTTTTTAAGCTCCATGAGCATCGACAGCATAGAGTGTCTAAGATAACGCAAAGAAGGAAAACTCGTTGCCACCCTCGCTTTGATGTTCAGTGGAAGCATACACCCTTTCAATAGAATGTTCATATTTCAGATCCTGAAAAAGACAAGTCATGAAGGAAAAAGACCTCGTATTTTAAGACTTGTCAGCTCAGTATAATAATTCCAATATCATATTTGATTAATGCTCTAAGCGTAGACTCAATACCCTTTCTTGTATCATAATTAATGGAACACATTACTCTAAATTAATTTTTAAAAACTAATAACTAATTTGATTTAAAAACTTAATATTATCCTATTTGAGCTAAATGTATCACAAATGAATACTTTTAATCATATTATGAATTAATTAGTTTTATTTATTTGTTATTATTCACTTCTTCATTATTAAAATACAATCAAAAATACCAAGCAAATACAAAATGCAATTTCTTTACTTTTTTTTTTTTTTTGTAGTATAGTTTGAAGAAAATGTAAATATTTAAAACAACGATTTATTTATTATTAAAATATATATTATTTTAGTGCTGAGATAAGTATTGATTTTTAAATAAAATGTATTTTCACATTTACGTAGAAATACTCTAATTTACATCGCCTCTATTAATTTATAAAATTCTTTTCATATTATTATGTAAATCTACGATGATTGAGCCATTTCATTAAATCTAATTTTGCTATACGAATATAGACTAAGCTAATTAATTAAAAATTTTATTAAAGAAACAATAATACTATAAATTGATTTGAGATTAGAATTGTGAGTTTTATAAAATATTATAAGATTCATTAAGAATAGATGTTTTCAATCACTTAAAAATAATGTTCTTCCTATGTTTTACATATAAGTAAATGAATTTATAAAGGAAACATATCATTCCTAGAGATCAAAGTTACATTTATTTTATTAAAAAGATTCATACAGCTTAATTCAAAGATTATGCTATATTGTTCATTTTTTCAGAACAATAATAAAACTTTTATTTGACAACATATTAAAGTAAATGTTAAATCTTTGTTACATTTGTATAAATTGAATTACGCAATAATAATTCAATTATTTACTAAAAATATATCGAATGTAATTATTGTATATTCTTATAAAAACAAATGTAATAATAAAATCATTTTGTAATCAGATTTCGAGTTATATTTGTATTTTCATCTTATGCAATAAATAGAAGAATAAATGTTGGATTTTCTTTCGTATGATTGACTATATCTATCGAATGATCAACAAACACTTGTGCGTTTAAATTTTATCAAACTTATGCAATTGATTTACTAACCTTATATGATTATATATTATATATTAAAAATGTGTAATCTATTAATACTACAATTGAAAGTTTATGCAACTTGTTAACAGATATTTGTTTCTTCCGTTTTTATGTGCTATTGTGAAATGAAACCAAATTCAATATCTGTACAGATACATGAATAGATTTTTTATAATTGACTAAGAGACCAAGCATCCTAATTTAAAGAACTTAATGTTAAAAATATATATATGTACACATATATAAAGTATTGACGCTTTTTATTGGATTCATTTAAAATATGGAAAGTTTGAAAACATTTAAATTTAATTATTTTTAATTTTTGTATTTGCATAATGTATATAATATTACACTACGCATTGAAAAATAAATTCATATATTCATGAATATATGTGTACGTGCGTGCGCGCGCGCGCGCGTGTTTTTTGTCAGAATATAAGCTGTATTAATATACTGAACCATTTTAAATATAGAAATTATAATTTTAGAGCAAGTTTATCAATCAACAACGCAATTTATACAATAATTTGTTTTGATTTGATGCCAAGTAACTTAGCATTATATGTACATATATATATATATATATTTTTTTTTTCGATACAGATATATACGTATCTATTAAAGCTTATTGATTTATTTGAAATAAAAAAACGTGGTCATTAAATAAAATCGAATTTTTCCATTTTTCTTAGAGAAAATTATAAAAAATATTCTAAAATTACTACTTATTGATTTATATTAATAGCAGAATTTACTTTATGAATATATGCGCGAAAATATAGATATTGGCGTTTAATTATTAGAATTGGCTATATATTCTGAAGTTTTTAAATAAAAAAACAAAATAATTTGAATATAAAGAATACACGTTTGATATTGAAATTATAAGTTGTTTATGAAAGATAATAAGAAGTAGAGTGCGCAATTTTACTTATATTATAATTTATGATGTAATCATCTTAATAAAAAATATTTATATATTTAAATAATTGTAATTAATTTTATGCAAAAAGTTTTATTGTGTTTTTGTTTGCGTTAAAATATAATTTCCACGGCTTTATAATTTTTATTTATATAATTTTGCAATAAATTAATAAATTCAATTTTCAATATCTATTTTCAAGGCTAAATTCTATTGTTGCATTATACATAATAAATACAAAATATTCAAAATTTATATAATGAAAAATCCGTTACTATTCTATACTCAATTCAATACCGTAATAATAAAAACATTTTTATTATCTCAGATTAAAACTTTATCATATTATAAATGAAAATTTTAATTAAAAACTTTCATCATAAAATAATTAAAAATTGTAATTATAACTTAAATAAAAAATGTTCGTTTCTTTTTTTTTTAATATCTACATTATATTTATTTCATTTTTGCATTATTTTGTAACTGCGGTTTTTTGTTCATAATCTTTAAAAAATACAAATTTTAATTTTTTTTTCTAATAGATTATTATTTTATTACTACTATCTTTTACAGTATTATTGAAAATAACATTATATTCCTAGGGGCTGAAATAAACTTAATTTTATTAGTTATTCTATTCTTATGTAAAATTTTATTTCATATATTGATCAATATGTATCTTATTCGGAAAATATAATAGAAATTATGTATTATTGATAGATCTAATGTTTAATTTATAATTATGTTATGAGATACACCGTAAATAATTATCACATATTATTTTAAATATAATACTTAAACTATATTATAAGGAAAATAATGCAATAATGTCATCAAATTTTATCAAATCTTTTATAATTTGAAATATTTTTTTGTAAATTAAATCAGCATTAAATCATTATTATTATTCACGTTTGCCTTTCTAAAAACTTCATTCAAATGAAATGTAAAGCCAGTTTAAAAACTGTATGCATAAAAATAGAAGAGCTAAAACTTTCTTATGAAATTCAAATGCCGTAACTTGTGTACTGTCTACAAACAATTGTTATACTTGAGCTTTTAAATAATAATATTGCACGACCGTGTATAAAACATCTTAAATAAGCATAGAACTGTTATTCCGCTAACGAGATGAAATAAGCTGTTGGCACGGATTCATTGTCTCGTTCCGGTAACCGCAAATGAAAAATTAAGGTCATCATGAATCTTCAAGCATTCGCATATTCTCACCCAATCAAATAAATTAAAAATCACGTTGACAAAATTCCTTATTTGATCATAATGTAGTCGATTCAATTCTTTTATTTTAGGATTTTACTTTCATTTAAGAAGGCATAAAACAATGTATTGTGTGTAAATGTTAATAAAATTAAATTTTGCCAAAATCAAGTTCAATAATTGAAACTTTGATAAGGAGAAATCACTTATTTTTATTAAAACCTTTGTTTAAATAAACGTTTATAACGCAAATACAAATATTTTCAAGCTCATTACTGTCGCAACAGAAATCAACACGTGATATCATGATCTCATTAACGAAGGAATGTCAATATACAGTTACTAAATCACATTATGTAGAGTAAGTTGTTCATAATAAATAAATATTATAACTGATATATTTAATTAAATAGAAAGCAGTTGATAGGTATTTGAAAAATGTAATAATTAGACATTTCATCAAAGATAACATTCGTTTAAAATCCTTATTCAATTATTATTAATAATCTATTATTCATATTTTATTTTTTTTCTGTTAATAAAATTGAATTTACATATGTATTGAAGAAATATATGTGTAAATGAATTTTTACATATAGATAAAATTATAAAATAATAATTAATAATTTTATGACTTAACATTGTATTTAAAAACTCATGAGAGATAATGCGCGGTAAAAATGACTATTTATTTATTCAAGATTTGAATAGAGAGTAAAAAATCGCGTTGTATCCGCTTATATTTTCCAAGCTCATATTCGCTAGTGGTTTGTTTGACGTGTTGTGATAGACTTCAGGGCGCAGACGTGTAACGAAGGCACGCGCGCACGCGTGTGCGCATCTCAACGTTTTTTTTACTTTTTATATTTTTTAGCATCCCATTTTCCAGTTTTTGACCTCTACTCTGAAGAAGATGAGCGTGCCATCATTTGGTGACCTTGGTAAAAAGGCAAGAGATGTATTACGAACGGGTTATACCTACGATCGAGCTAAGGTCAAGTTCTCCAAGCCTTTTTTCGACATCGGCTTCGAGTGCGACACCTACGTCGACCTTAAGAGCTTTAAGGTACGGCACTGATCATTTTCTTTCCTTCTTTTTTTCTCGATCTGATCACGCACATATACTCAACTAAGTTACACAACTAATTTAACTTCTCAATTCAAGTATATACCTTCTTTTAAAGTATCTTAGAGCCCACTGATAATACTTTAAATTTGAATTCTTATGAAAAGGTAACATCATAGTTTTAACTATTTCAATAAATATTTATAATTATCATTAAAATATATAAACTATTATTATATACTGTTAAATAAATAGATTGTATACCGTTAATTTTCACAAAAATGAGATATATTCTACAAAACTTCTAATTCTAAAGTAAAGTTCCAAACATTTATGTATTATTAAAGTTGTTTTAAAAGATTTTTATGAATATATTATAAACGCTAAATTTAATGTAACAGTTCCTTTCGATGCTTAAAGGTAAAGTTTCTTTAAGATGAAAATATTTTTAAAAATATTCAAATTAAACTGAAATATTAAGGAAATATAGAGAAATATTCTAATTAAAACAAAATAATATTAATTATATTTCATGTTAATTTTGTAAAAAAATTAAATGAAATAATTTTACTTGCAAATTTAATTGTTACAGACGGTAGACAATTAAATGAATTTATAATAAGATTTCACACTGATACAATGTATAATGATTTTTATTACAAAATAAATTGAAATAATTTACAATTATCTTATAATATTATAATATAAAATTAAATCTAACAATGAGGGTTTTCTCTCTTTCATGCTTCCTGTCATTTTGTCCACTTAATTTTTTCTCGCTATTGTTATACCTTTACACTGTTTCTCATCTTAAATTTATTTAACCATTTATATGATTGTAAAAAATATTCTTATTCAATTAATATTAAATTAGAAATACCGTTTGTTTATTTATTCAAATACGCTGTCACGTAATTTGTAATTTCTTTTAGTAATTTCAGGATTTTATTTAAATGTAAATTATTTCATTAATTATATGTTCTCAAATTTTATATAAATTTATTTTATAAAAATTATCTTGCTATAAAATGAATTGGTATTAATTTTTTGCGAAGAGGTAATAAGGAATTTTTTAACTATAATTTCATGAAACCATAAGTTTATGATAAATTTTATTTTACTTTTAGTTAGGTATTTCTGGTTTAACAAACTATAACATCGAAAAGTATGGCAAATTCAATGTTAAGCTTTCGACCGATGGACCAGTCGTCATAGAATACAATTGCAATGGTATAATAAATGAAAATGTTGATATCGTTGCGGGATATTCAATTAATTTGATGGATTCCTTTCAATCCTGCAAACTTGCATCAAAATTTCATAATTCTCTTCTAAATACGACATTTTCGTTAAGTAAGTTCTTCCATTGATTTATCTCAGAATTCAATATATTTTATATATACTTAAAGAATAATTATGTAAATCTGACTTTCACATAATTAGTCGCATATTCATTTTTTTCTCCATATTTTTTGATTTTGATTTAATTGTATACAAAATTTCATATATTTTACATAATTAAATAACATCTATATGATTGACTGAATTGTTAATCAAATGAATTGAATTAATATTGAAAGCGTAACAAATGTTTTGAAAATTTCTTTATAAAGAAAAAATTCTTTATAAAATATATCATAAATCGAGTTTGAAAAATAAAATATATCTAATTTAAAATAAGAAATTTTGATATTCCAATTAGTTTTTTAAGTTTAAAATTCTCATTAGTTTTCATAAAAAAAGTAATAATTTATATATTTTAATTTATATATTATAACGATAAATATTTTTTATTTTGGAACAAAGTTTCGATAAAATCGAAGAACTTGTTTTATACTATTATAGAATTTTTTAATGCAAACACATTCTTATACTAAATTATTACAGCAAAGGATTTCGATAGGAACGTCGATTTGCTTGGTTCACTGGTTCTTAAGTCGAATAACTACTTAATCGGATATCAAAGTGGTTTCGATACCAATACGTCACAAATAACTAAAAACAATGCGGCTTTCGCTATAAACCAAAACAATTTGATCTTACACTTACGGTGCATTCAGATTCCTAAAGAGTTTGGTCTGTCCGCCTTCTACACAGGTTTATTTTTTACTTTTTTCCTTTTCAAATCCGTTTGAATAAAAAATAATATGTTTAATTAATTTAATTTTGTAAAAATTCTGCTTTAAAGTGTTTTTTTAAACACTTTTCTAGCAAAGCAAAAGAGCAAAGTGATCTTATACTTACAATCCCTTTATTACAATTGCAATAAATTTTCAACAAAGTTTCAAAATAATAGATTAAATTAAATTTTGTATAAGCAGCTTTTAATAGAACTAATCAAATTTTAATTTCAGTATAACGTAAAGAATTACTTATTGTTACTATTTAAATTTGAAAATATTGAATGATAACTTTTGCCTATAATTTTTATTATAATACATTATTTAACAACACAATATATAAATATTAAATATTAATAAATCCAATTTTAAAGATCTAAATATTTTTATAATCTTGATTACATATTTTATATTTATCTGATATAAATTCTAATATTAAAACATTTAGATTAGAGTTAGAATATATTCATAAAAATATATGTAGATCAAAATAATTATTAAATAATGCTTGAATGAATTTAATTTAATTAATTCAATAATGCTCAATTAATTTCATTAAACAAATATTTTTTACGCTTCAAATAAATAGTCAGTTTTTTTTATGTATTAAACAATACTAACTGAAGGAAGAGATATAGCTCTGGTGAATAGTGGTGAATTAATGAATATAATTTTACTTGATAATTTTATATATTATTCATTTATTTATTTCAACAAAAGTTTCTTCATCTCTAGAATGCCATTTAATAATTATAAAAGCAAATTGCTTTGAAAATTGTTTAGTAAATCATGATAATTCAAATTAAACGAAATTAAATATATAAATATGTTAAGACAATATCTCGTAAATATCATATAATTTTTTTCACATTAAAGTAATATACTAATATCAATTATATAATATTTTATAAATCAGTGCAGTCAATAGTATAAAAGTTTTGATTTTCTTATCCAACCCACTTAAAACTTATTATACATATACATATATACGTATTTGCAACTGTATAATATAAAATATTTTTATGCTATTTTTGCTTTATCAAAAATGCAAAAATTAAAAAATTAGCAATTACAAATTTTTCAACAAAATAATCTTTAATTTGTTCAACTTCTCTTATCGATGCCATAAATAATAAAGAAAAACCAAAATACAAATGCTGACCAAATCGTTTTTAATTATTTATAAATATATTTTTTATGCAGTAAATGACAAACTGAATATTGCGATGGACACAAAGATGGCGAGTAATGAAGAAAGAAGCTTGTGGTATCTTACAGCCGGCTTTTCCTACAAGCTAGTCGATGATTGTAAGCTGCAAATGAAGATTGACAAGAATCTGCAATTGGGCTCAAATATGTTGTTTCATTTAAAAGACAATTTACTGCTCACGATTGCTTGTAATCTTGACCTTGGCAATCCAAAGTCTGGCCAGCATAGAATTGGTCTCGGCCTCAATATCGGTCCTTAAATCCCCGTTTACTTTTTTATATATTCTACGTCTTTTGAATAAGAGTTTTTTTCGTGAATTGTAAAACTTTATGGGTGAGCTTTTATGCGTATTTACCCATCGTTTCTCGCACATCTCAATTATGTATATATACAATGGATATAAAATGGCAAGTAAAACAAGGGGCTTTTGGTTTTCTTAGAAGAGTGTGGCTGACTTATGATTGGTGGATACTACTAATATATAGCAGCACAAGAGTAATGCTCTAACCTTAACACTGGATGATTGTTAATAGGTTTAATTTTATTATCATTTATAAACATGTATTCTTTTATTCAATAGATAAATTCTTGTTAAATTATGAATTGTAACTGAAATAAGAATGTTTTATGAAAAACGAAAAATTACTTAGCTTATATTATTATTAATGTATTAAAAAAACTTTCTTTTTTTTTATCAGAATATATTTAATTGTAGAGTATTTTTTTTCCTTAAAAATATTGATAAATTCATTATAAGAAAAATACTTATTTGCGTTTGGAATAATCTATCTTAATTCAATATAGATTATCTAATAATAACAAATTTAAAAAGTATTACAAAAAGGAATTGGAAAAAAGTAACTTTTTGGAAAAACATGAATTTAATGTTAAAGAACTATTTAAGAGACAAGAAAATATACAATATACATTCTTCTTCGGTGACAATTTAAAATTATTCAATATGTTCTTGCAATCGTCTTAATTTAAAAAATACGTAAAAATTTTCAAAACTTCTATACCTTTAATAAATAAATTGAAGAGAATGTATCTCTCTCTCTCTCTCTTGTTAGTACATAATAATAAAGCATTATTGTATTACTTCAAAATTAAATGTAGGTAAACAAACATCTGGAATTGAATTTCTCTCAATATAATAATAAAATTAATTTTTATATTGTCATCACATATTTTCAAGCTTATTTGAACTTGTTAACCACAACGTTATTTCAAAATTTTCCAAATTTTCCAAATTTAATAACATTCATACAAATAAAACAATTATACTATAAGAATCATATAATAATTATATTTATAATATAAATTATAATTATTTTAAGCTCTTTAGAAATCGGACATATTTAAAAAATATATTACGAATGATTACTGTTAATATTCAAACAATTCATTAATATTATATTTGTTTATAAAATTTAATAATTTAAGCATATTTATTTAGAAATTTCATTACCGAGATGATAATTAATAAATAATGCAAATATTCACAAATTTTTATTTGCAATATCACTTAATCGTATTCGTTAAGAGTCCAAGACCATGTAAAATTTAAAGATTTATCATAAACTATTCATACCAGCAGAAATTTTTATTCAGGATTTTAAAAATCTAGTTGATTACATGTAAGCAATTTTTATATACTTTATAATAAATTTAGACGGAATAAATTTTTAATTGTTATTGATTGTTATTAAAATAATCAATATTAAGAGAAAAACTTATTACAAGATTGTTAAGAACATAATTACAAATAAATTAGATTTGCATAATATATTTGTTTATGTATAATTTCTACTCGTAAGTTGTTTTAATATATGTAGTATTTACAACAATTATCGAAGCATGAAATATATATATTATGGATTTTAAACAAGTCATATATTAATCTAATTTAAAAATTTGTGAAATAAAATCTTTAAGCATATCACAATTAAAATAGAAAAATAACGTAATTGTTTAAGTAATGTATACGTACTATCGAAGAAATCGAATTATTAACGATAATTATTATATTAACAGTATGTACAATAAATCCAGCTTACACATACTTCAATATAACTTAATATGGAATTTTAAAGGAATATTTAAGTTTTTTTTATTAACGATAACCCCTTATAAATTATGGAAGATAAATATATGGAAAAGCTAGTTCGATGCTGATACACATAATAAAATTTACAGAAACGAAACGACTAGTTTATATACGAAAATAATTATTAGGTGTGAGAAAATATTGAAATAATATACGTTAATATTATAATTACAATCATCTATATGCTAGATTTTCTGTATGTTGTTTTTTTTATATAAAAATGTATAATATATTTGAAATTGGCACGGATAATATTATGAAAATTTTGAGAATCTCTTACACAAGTCTTAATTTATACTTATCTTTCAATATTACCATTGGTTTGCTTTCGATTGAATTGTATATCGATGGATCTCTATAAAGGTAGCTTGCTAAGTCAAAAGTATATTCTTAGATATTAATGCGAAACTACATCTTCCAAGGGATCTAATAAGCTTATTATGGATACATTAGCATGCAATATTATCTTATTAATAGATTAAAAGTATTACCTTATGCCTAGGTACCGCTGGCATACTGCTGGTCCTGCCACGCTGCCTTGGCTGAAGCGGCAACCTCGAGGTCGACGCACTGGCGGCACTAGGGGCAGCTGGACTAGTAGGACTTGGTCCCCCAGAACTAGTACCGGGACTGAGATGTTGGGATGTCGTTGATGTGGCGCCTGGACTAAAAGCTGGGGTGCGCGTCGGACTCCGAGGCGATGGCGACAAATGACCCCAAGGGCCAGCCTCCGCTTGTAAAAACCTATGAACGGCGAGAGAGTTTAGTCTTGCGTATTTTTAATATTTCTTACGCTCACTAATTAACCTACGAATGAAGAACTATTACCTTTAAATTGCATCCATTTTATATATATGACAGACGTTAGAAGTTATTAAGTAGACAACTAAAATCTTAATACACATCTACATATATTCTTCTATATTGAATAATTTAATATGCAATTTAATATTCAATTCACAAAAATTAAACATACATAAATATCATATTGTCAATGGATTTACATCAAAGGTAAAATTCTTTTTATAATTATTTCAAACGAATTTCTAAGAAACTGATTATACTCATGTATATTTACCAATATGAATCATTCAATTTTTTAAATTATTACTTTAATATTTCTCTCTTTATATTATAAATTGTTGATCAATTAAAAAATTACAATTCAATAAGTAACAAACAGCTATGCTGAGAAGGAGTAACTTTATTTTGCAATTTTTTTTTTTGTATATTCTTTTATGTTTGCTTAAGTATATCATTTAATATTAATAAAAACAAACCATGATAATTATAATTTTCATCGTCGATTTTATTCAATAAAATAATTTTAATAGATTTAATAGGAATTTTTATAGTACTTAATAATATAACCATATCATGATGAATCTACTAATCTATAATATTCCCATAGAATTAAAGTTTTTTTTTTATATATAATAAAAATGAAATTAACATATGATATAAAAGTCTGTTTTAACAATTGTAAACCAATTTAAAATGACGTTATTTCAAATAAATATAAAAAATAGATACTTTCGAAAATAATTATGCATTATTATTTATTCATTATAGTTGTGGAATTCTTCTTTTAAATGAATATTTAGACATATATTTTATAGTATATAACATTGCGAAAAACAAGATTGATTCATAAATAATAATTTATTTTTCCAATAAATAATATCTTAATAATAAGAATTATTATAAATAACATTTGAATATTTTTGAATAAAAATATGTGTACGTTATCTAAATATATTATAAGATATTTAAATAAATATTTATAAATTCTTATACAATACTATACATTTTGAAAATTAATATTTTATCGAAGTATACCTAGCTTTTATAATATAAATTTCCAATATCATTTCCAATAATAAACTTTTTTTAAATGACAAACTGCATTGTCATTTAATTAATTAATTAGAATCTTATATATTTATATCTCTATTAATGTTATTATTATTATTATTATATATATATATATATATATATATATATATATTCCTGTGAATAATATTCATCATGAATCTTTTTTCTTACTTGTTATAAGAATCAAAGAAATTCGAATTTAACAGTAAAAAAAGAGAAACCTGTGAAGGTCGGGAGTTGGTCGGGCAACAGCAATACTTGAGCTGCGTCTTCTCGAGGGTGCCGGTAATTTTGGTCCTTCTAGTCCACCTGCACCACTGAAATTCGGATTCTCCGAGTAAGCCATCGCATGCAATCGTACTTCCACTTCGCTACTACGCCGCTGAAATGCTCGCTTCACCCAACGTTGCTTGTTGTTACTGGCACTGATATTATTATTATTATTACCAAAACTTTCCAGTCCAGAATAAACACCCTTTCTGAAATACAATATTTCAGGTAGCTCGGTAATATTTCCTGCTCGTCATTATTTTAGCATTTACTGCATGACTACATTAGGCTATTTATCATGCACTAAATTCACGATAGAACAAAAAGTGATCGACTTTATGCTGTATGTGCGTCTTCAAGAATTAGAATTTTTATAAGATATAAAATTAGTATGAAGTAAATAAATATTAAATGGCAAATTCATATTATTGTTTAATATTACAGGTTGCAAGAGAATTATTTAATAAAAGTATTCCTATTAAAAGAAGAAAAATTTTAACTTACTTTTAAATGCTAATAATTACTATGTTAAAATTGTTTAAAATTTACCAACATTCATAAATATTATATAACTATATTAATAAGAATTTTTATTCAACAACATTTCATACATTTTAAATAATCAATTTTCATATTTTTTTTCTTTTTCCTTTTAAATTCTGATTAATTCAACGTTTTATGTGACCACCCTTGCGCATTAATTAATCATAATATTTTATAAATAATTTAATATAATTATTGTTTTTAGTATTGCAATATATGATTAAAATATGTATATTTAAAATACATAATCTTCCTTTTTCGTTTGAATGATGAAATATTTGAAAATACAATTATTGCTTAATTTATATAATCAATTTTTTTTAGAAACTCAATCGCACTGTTTGTAATACTAATCACTGAATTTTCTTACAATATAATATATATGTGCAATTTAACCAAAAGAACTGAAATATTATATCTTACACATACGAAAATAAAATTCTTAAAGAATATATAATAAATAATTATATTGCTGGAAGGAAAAATTGAATTGGCTAGAATCGTACATAAAATCATTTATGGTAGCATAGATTCCATCATTTTTTATTTAAAGTAAAAAGAAACATGAATATAATATATGGTTTGTTATAACTGTAGTTTTTTTAAATAAAAATTTAACTTAGAAACTAACGTGTCTATTAATTTTTCTATTAAAATTTTATTAAAAATAAAGCAAAATATAATTATTAATATTACATAAAATCTTAAACAACAAATGATTTTTTTAATTGTAATTTTAATTATAATATCTTTTTGAAATATTCACTTATTCAAAATTTTTTCTTATTTTCAACTATAGAAGTAAGAAAAGAAAAGTTATTATTTTACGATAACTTATTATCTATTTAAATAATATAAATATTTATATAATTATTATTTAGCAGATTTAAAAGTTTTTTAATGTTATTAAATTAAAAATTATACGATTTTATAATCAAATATCTAAAATTCAATTTTATTATTCAACTTTTATATACGTTTAACAAAATTATATATAATTTCATAATCGCTTTAAATAAAATGTACAAATGACAGAGATAAAAATGGACTATAAAAGATAAAGTTTCAAAATTTAAATTTAACTATTCATTATTTCAAATATAAATTTAATTTTAAATAAATTTGAAAGGTTTCACAAGTTGTACTAAATTTTGAGCTTTATGAGTATAAAAGAAATTTAATAGTTAATCAAATTTGATTTTAATTTATGCAAATTTTATTGATTTTTATAATGAAAAATTTATTATATTAAACTTTTAAAAAATGATACAGCATAAAAGAAAAATGAATTTTTAAAAATATTTTATCCCAATCAAGATAAAAATAAAACTGATTAAAATAAAAATAAATTAATTAATAATTAATTATAATGTATGTCCTTTTTTCTAATTAAGAAATAATTAATCGAACTCTAAATATAAAATTTAAAATTCCAGAATATTAAATTTAAATACGTTGTTAATATGTGTATATATTAAAGAAGATTAATTGTAGAAGTTTAAATTAATTTTAGTAATATATATGATATTTGGATATAGAAAATCATTTATATAAAATTAAAAGATATTTAATTAATAAACTTTACTTAACTCTATTAAAAATTATAAATTTATCCACAAAGTTATATATAACAAAAAACTATGTGATGGGAATATCAGAGCGAGTAATAATATCATTAAGGCTAAGCTTTTAGTAAATAATAATTAAAAATTTGTAAAAGAGTAAATAATTTAGAGTTTAAAGTGATAGTTAGTTAGGATTTACAAATACACTTTTTTTATTACAATATTAATATTAAATCGTCTAAGACAATTAATTTACATTTTTTCTAAGAAAACTTGTTAATTGTGTAAACGAGATTAATATTTATTTTTCATTAACCAAACAAATTGTATAGAAATAAAATTCTCTATAACAAATAAATTTATTAAAAAATATTTATTTTAAATTTTAATTTTCAATTTCTTAAAAAATAATATTGTTAATATTAACTTTATTAATTTGTTACTTTTATTTATTATAAAAATTTTAAAATACGATTCAATTTTAAATCATTCGATTTGTTTCTAATCAATATTTATTTATGCGTAAGAATTACCATTCTCCCTTATAATATCCTTTAATATTATTGCAAAACAAATATTTTAATTATTGTATATAAAAGATTATAATACGAGAGATTATTAAGATTTATCTTTGTAAAATTAACTTTAAATATAATTATATTTTTTAATATTCTTTGCTTTATTTAAAAAGTGAATACATAACAGTTGATAGTCAATACATAATAGTTCTTAACTGTAAAATGGGAATTAGAATTATGATTTTATCACAATCATATCATTTTTTATTTAACTGTAAAGAATTATATATCAACCTTATTATTAGTATTACTTCTTTGTTATTAGTAACATTAATAGTCTCTAGAAAAATCTAACTATCGAAATAATATGTATGCTCTTTGAAAAAGTACTTAAACAAATATAAGTTATTTATGAGAGGGTTATTTTAATCTAAATTTATAATCTCAAGTTATAAGAAGAGCTGAATTTTTAAAATCCAAAATATTATAGACTCAGTATCATATGCGAATATTTCAAATTCAAAAATCTTTAAATATGAAAATAGAAACCGAAAAATATTAGAATTTCTATAAAATATAAAAAATTTTAATTGTGACGCTTATCTAAAACAGGATTGTTTGAATTTTAAATCCATAATATTTTATATAAAATTTAATACAATTATTTATTTAAATTCCTTAACACTTTATTTTATTTTAATAGAAGTATGGATATAAAATATATCAATCTACTTAAATATTAAAATATTTCTATTGAATCATAATCGAATACTTAAACTTTAATTCACAATTTTATTATCCTAAATTGCGCATTTAATTAAGTATTATTCAGCATAAATATATGTATTAAAAATACAATTTACTAGTTCTTCATATATACTGACGTTTATTTCCTAATTAAGAAATTAATCTTAAAATAGTATATAAATAATTAAATGAAAGGAATTTATTTCATTATATAGTATATAATATTAATCTTTCTTTTATTAAAGCTTCACCTCTTTAATCATGAATAAAAGAGATTCTAGATCACAGCTCTATAAGTGCGCAAAAGTCAATCGCAAATAAATACTCTTGATATATATATATATATATATATCACGCGCACGCGTGAAAAATAATATATTCTGTGTCTCATGCCGCCGTTTCACTCTCAGCTTTAAGTACTCAACGCATGAAATACGTTCAGACTTTAAGCACCACTCGTCTCTAGCGCATTGCCGTCGTTTCTTCTTGTCGTTTAATTCATCTACACCGGGTGCTTAATTTTTCTATCATCTTTTATTTATTTTCAAATACGGCGTACAATTGATTTCTTTACTATCCTTAAATTGATTTTATACGGAATATGATTAGGTGACATTAAATAATATATTCAGATATTTCTATTTTCTTAAACATATATAATAATATTATTAAATTAAAAATTTGAATATAAAACATTTAAACATACAAGCAACTACATAGTTTTATTTGATTTTATAGTGATGTAAAATGGTAATCATCAAATTATATTGTGAAAGAAATATATTTTATGTTTTTCTAAAATTTGAGTTATTTTCCTTAGTTTATTTAAAAATTTTAATAATAAATATAATTAGCATAGTGCATAATACAATAATAAGTATTAAAATTAAATTTTCCTATGTAATAAACGAATTTCAAATTTGTAAATTTCTAGTATCTAATATCCAACATACCTATAAATAAAAAATATTATATTTTTTTTAATCAAAGAATATTTATTAAATTCCATCTAGTAAATGCAAAATATTATTCTTACTTTAAATTGTATTTCGATCATTTACATATTGATTGTTCGTGAAAAAATAAATAATTAAAAATATACAAGTTTCTGAAATTTTAACTATTATCTGAGAGCAAAAATTGTTTGACATAAAAGGTATATCGTTTGAATTGTAATTGTAAAATAATTCATTGTCTTAAACGGAATTATTTTTATTCAATAATCACTTTCACTACAATACTTAGTTATTTAACAATATTATCACAATAATTGGATATCGATAAATACATTAGAACAAAAAATATATAAATTGTATTGGTCTTCTTATCTTATATTATGAACATGAATTAAATAATATTATTCTATATAATTTTTATGTATAATTTTACGTTTAATTATATAAATTATAATTATCAATTATTTCAAAAGTATATATTAATTAAGGAAATTCTTATTATCTTTCATTATCATAACACCGAGCAAAAGTACATAAATACATAAATAACAAGAGATTTTGTCTGTAAGCATAATTGCATTTACAAGTCGATACATTTTGTAGTTATACTACATAAAAAAGAAATATTAAAAGTATAATGTAATTAAATAATCATTTTTAATATTTTAAAGGTAAAAATTCAAACATACATACACTTAGAGTAGTCTTCGCGACACCGAGCAACTGAAACGAATACACGCGATATCTATTGAGGCGGAAAATTCATCAATTCATCTTGCGAATTCGTCGTGCGCTCTTATTTTGGCGAGCAGACACTTGTGCAAGTTCACTACACGTTCTTATGCATAACGTAACAGAAAAACGCACGATTCGTCCTTTG